CGGGGTGTTTACACTACAGCATGGTTTCTGTCTCCCAAAAAAAAAAAAAAAGACTCCGAGGGTGGTTTTTGTTGTTGTTGTTTTGCACTCATGAGTCACTTCCAGAGGGGAGCAGGAGCTGACGCCTGTTTTTTGAAAAGGCTCAGAGGTCTGAGAGTGGCTCCTCAGGCTGCATGTCCTGCCCACACCCTCCCCAGTGAGGCTCAGTGTCCCAGGGGGCTCACTCAGCACCCTCTGCCCCCACAGCCCCGCCATCCCAGCTGTTCCAACACCATCAAATCGGGACCAGTTCCTCAAAACTGAGCATTGTTGTCCCAGAGGTAGGAGGGTGCCTCCATCAGCACACACAGGCTGGGCACACAGCCTCGGAGCTGCCTCTGGGAAGCCTCACATCCCCACCCTGGGCAGGTGTCCCCAGCATGGCCGTGGTCACCTCACCCGTGTGGGGTCACCACAAGCACCAGGGCTGTGGCAGCAATCCTGCTCCTTCCCACCCCGAGTCCATCCTGCCGCCTCCTGGGCTGGCAGCCGGGCACGGAGCCACCCCCACAGCTCTGGAAAAGCAGGTTTTCCCTGTGCCCCTGGGAAGCAGCGAGGTGGAGAGGGGAAGATGGAGCCTTTTCCTTGGTGGAATTGCTCCAAGAGCAAAGGGAGAGCTGCCCAGCCCTTGGGGACGTGCACAGGGCAGGTGACCTCAGATCGAGTGCCTGTCCCTAACCCCAGCCAGGCAGCAGGAGCAGGGGTGCAGCAGTGCTGAGGGTGGGGAGCAGGGCTGTGGGACCCTGAGCCCCTCTCCAGGGCCCTGGCACCCCCCTGGGGACACCCAAAGTCCCCGATGCCACCACTCACCCTGCCTCAACTCACCGGTGCCAGCAGCACATCTGGGATTCCAGATTAAACCTGGAGCCACTCTCCTCTCCTCGAGGACAGGGCCCAGGCTCTGCAGGATGGGCAGGCCAAGCTGCTGCTCCCCAAACGCCTGAGGGGACCCCAGGAGATGGGTACTGGCCATGGGTGGCTGTGCCATGGGCTCGGGGCACAGCCAGGGCATTTTGCTGCCCAGCCCGTGCCAGGGGCACACAGGGGGCATCTCTGCTGCCCCAGGGTGAGGGCTGGGGGATGTCACAGCTGCCATGGGGGGCCAGAGCCGTGCCTGACTGACCTTCCTCCCTCCCACTCCTCCTCACCGTGCTGGGACAGACGATGAGTGAATCCAGCGCCAAATCCAGCCAGCCCCTGGCCTCCAAGGGGGAGAAAGACGTGGCGGAGAAGAGGGGCCGAGGGCGGCCCAGGAAGAAGCCGCAGGTACGTGGGGTCCCCTATGAGAAAAGGGGTGACTGGGCACCCCCAGGGTATGGGGGCAGCAGGAACCCCCCCCACACACCCTCACCCCAGGCTGGGGACACCCCCAATGCAGCCCTTTGGGCAGCCCCTCCCTCCCCAGGGCTCACCAGCAGCTCTGGAGCCCTTCCTGGGGGTCTCCAGAGCCCCCCCAGAGCTCCTGGCCCTGGCTGGGGGCTGTCCTGCCCCTCCCCAGGCCCTGCTGAACCTGCCTTTGCAGACAGGCTAATTAAAGCCCCATTAGCAAAAGCTGCTCAGAGAGATAAGATGCTGCTGGAGCCTTTATAGTACCAAACCCAGCTCAGCCCCCCCCACCCCACCCGAGGCAGGTGGGGTTTGTGCACATCCTTTTCCTGCAGAAAAGGTGATTTGTGCCTTCCCTGACACTTCTTCCTCTGCTGCAGCACCAGCAGCAAGCGGGGCCTGGGCTGAGGGGCCATGGGGATTGTCCAGCTGGGCTGAGTGGGTGATGCTGGGGGTGGAAAAGGTCACCTGTGCCCAGCTGAAGGACGCACAGGAGCCTGTGCCTGGTGTCTGATCGCCAATCCCAGTGCTCCCAGTGCTCCCAGTACCACATGGGAGCATCCCTGCCCTGGCAGGATCTGCAGGGACTCCCAGGCTGCACTGGAAGCCACTCTGGGCATGCAAACCCCCTGTGCTCTCCCTCCAGCAGGAGCCCAGCGAGGCCCCGACCCCCAAGAGACCCCGTGGACGGCCGAAGGGCAGTAAAAACAAGGCCACCCCAAAGGGCAGGGTAGGTACCTGGGATGGGCTGCTGCAGCTGGGTGCTGCTACCACAGCAGGTCCTCTTCGAGCTCAGTTATGGACAATTCAGGGCAGATCTGCCTCAGAGGTGGGGATGGGGGGAGGAATGTGGCCCTAGGAGGGTGGGGGAGCTGGGGGCCGTGTGTCAGCAGCAGGACACCCGAGATAAACCTGTTTGCAAAACGTGCGACTCACATCCTGCACCCACCTCGTGACTCAGGGGCATCCCAGGGCTGGGGGGGCTCGGGGGGCTGGCAGCAGCACCCCAGGAGATGCCACTGGGGTGATGAATCGCAGTGGGAGGACAGGGAACGCTGCCCACCCCCGCCAGCATCCTGGGGACAGCCTGACCAAAATGCCTTTTTTGTTGTCCTGGCTCAGAAAGCTGCAGTCACACCAGGGAGGAAACCTCGAGGGCGACCCAAAAAATCGGTGAGCAGGCTTTTCCCTTCCCCATCCACCCTGGCAGGGCACTGGGCACTTTGGGGGCACAGCAGCTCCCCAGAGAGCCCCACGAGTGTGGGGTGGAGGCTGCCGGGTTGGAGGAGCTCCGAGCAGTTGAGCCAGCAGGACACTGCACTGGGTGGGCTCTGAAGCCTCCAGAGGTGTGGGTTTGAGGAATCCTGCCCACCCCACCTCCCCATGGGCCCAAGAGCAGCACTGGCTGGCTGGTCCTGCCCTGGGGATGTGCTGGCACACGCCTGCCCAGGGCCCTGCACAGCATTCCTGCAGCCCACGGGTGCAGCCATCCCCTTCCTTCCCTGAGCTTCCCTCCTCCATCCCATTTTTCCTCCTTTCCCCCTTGGTTTGCAGCTCAGGCGGGTGCCAGGTACCCGGACACTTTCATCTCCTTTCCCGGCCTGTCCCAGATTTTGCTCCTTTTCGCACTGAAATTCCTGGCAGAGCTGAGGGCTTGATGCCAGCCAGGGCTGCAAACCCGAGGTGCCATCCTGGGGCCTCCCGTGCCGGTGTCACAGTGCCGGGGGCTGTCTGGGGACCCCAGGCTGTGCAGCCACGCAGGGAGGTGTGGGAGGAGCCTGTCCCGTGCCAGCAGCGGGGCCGTGCCGGGACGCGATGTCCCGCTCTGGCAGGCGCGGTGGCGTTTTTGTGAATGGAGCGGGAGGAAGCGGGGGCTGCTGTGACTCAGGCTCACTCAGCCCTGAGTCACCGCCGCCTGCGGGGTCACGGCCGCCCACCCCGGCCTGGGGGCTGGACAGGGACACCCGGGGCTGGACAGGGACACCCGGGGCTGGACAGGGACACCCGGGGCTGCCACCACCCGCCCTGGTGCCCACTGGGGACCGCGGTCCCTCTCAGAGGTGAACTGGGGGAGTGGTCTCCCCTCCTCACTGTGAGCCCACTCGGGGGTTTCTCACCTGGGATTTACCTCCGAGCTGGGGTCAGGCTCGGTCCTTGGAGCAGCTCAGTTTCCCCTGTTGCACAAGGGGTGAGATGTGCCTGGCCAGCCCTTGGCGCAGGGGCACCGGAGTGGGGCTGCGCTCCCTGACACCCCCCGGCCACGCTCCCTTGCCTTGCAGCAGCAGGACGAGGAGGAGGTGAACATTTCCCAGGAGTCATCCGAGGAGGAGCAGTGACACCTCCCGAACCGGCGCTACCTCATCGCCCGACAGCCCCGCAGCGGCCGGGGGAGGGGGGTGGGGAGAGACCCGCTGTGCCGCCCTGGCTTCCTCCTCCTCCTCCTCCCTCCTCCGCTCCCTCCTCACCCTCAGACAACGGCAGCACTGGAAAATGGCCCAACCCGGGCGGCCCCCGCAGCCCCCGCCCGGGGGGGGCACCTGCCCCAGCTCCCCCTCCCCAGCCCTGGGGTTCAGGGCAGCCCCACTGGAAAGGGGGATCATGGCAGAGAGCCGGGGCTGGCACCCCCCACCTTCGCTGCCCCCCATGCAGTGATCTCACCCCGCCTGAGTGGGTGCTGGCTGCCCCCCCCAGCACTGGGCTCTGCCCTGGGGCCTCTGCAGGGAAGAGATGGGGGGGCAGTGAAGATGAGACCCCCCCTCCCCCCCAAAATGCATTAGACCTTTGCTCTGGCCTGCTGCTACCCCGGGCAACCCCCTTGGTCCCCCCAGTCCTGGGTGACTGCACTGTGTGTGGGAGCAGCTCCCACAGCAAGGGAGCCCATCCCTGGGGTGCCCACCCCAAGGGGTGGCAGTCCCCGGGGGTGCCCGGGCACGGCTGGCTCTGGGCAGCCCTCTCCTCATAGGTTCTGGTATATATATATTTTTTTGTTGAGTACTTTTTTTCCTTTCATTCACAACTACCTCTGGATATTTAAGTTCCACTCTCTGAACTCACAGGCGTGCTGCTGCGCTGCCAGGGCACTGTGGGCTCGGTGGTTCCTGTTTTCGGGGTGTTGCTGGGGGCTGTGGGGTATTTTTTTTTTTTTTCCCCTTTTTTTTGGGCTTCATTTTTCTTTTTTTTTTTTTAATTGTTATTTTGAGGTCTAGTTTGCTCTGCTGCTTCAAGGGATCGAGGCTGGCAGGGCAGAGGTGTGGGAGGACCATGGGATGTTCCCCCTGCCCCTCTGCCCCGGCACGACGGCTGCAGCGGGACCGGAGGTCGGTGCCGGGCGGCCCCGGCGGGAGAGAATCGGGGTTTGGTTTGGGTTTTATTTTGGTTCACTGTTAACGACCTTTTGGGTTCCTATTTGCAGTTACTTGAATAAAACATTTTATGGATGTTTGTGACGCTTCTATCCCAGGGCCCCCCGGGCTGGGTGGGGCAGGGCTGGCTCCTTCCTGGGGCATCTCCTCCACAGGGACATCCAGCCATCCACGGGGATGAGCTGCGGATGGAGACACAAACAGGCAGAGCCTTGCTGCCCCTCAAACTCCCACCCAAGGCCAGGAACCCCCAGCCCCACTCGGAGCCCCAGAACCAAGGCTGAGACACGTTTATTTACCCCATCTTCCCCCAGGCATCCCGTGCCAGCAGAACCTGCTGCTCCCTGCCAGTGTGCCAGCCCCAGTGTGCTCTCCTGGGCTTTCCAAGAGGCTGCTGGAGCAGTTCAAGCAAAAAAAAAAAAAACCCAGAAATGGCAAAAAGAGGCACTGAGGTAGGAGATGTCCCATCCTGGTCAGTGCTCAGAAGTGGGGGCAGTGGCTGTGGCATCGTGGCACCAGTGTGGGCACGTCCTGCCCGTTCTGGGTGATGGAACCAGTGCTGCTCCTGTGCTCCCTTCCCTCCCGCGGGCAGGATCCGGTCCCGGTGCTCCAGGCAGGGTCAGGCCCTCCAGTCCCTGCGCGGGGGCCAAGGGGGCGAGGGTCCCCCCCAGCCGGGCACCACCTGCAACACAGAGGGACACACCTGCAGCCCAGGGCATTGCGGCAGGTGGGGAAGGCACTGCCCACGCGGCCCAACCCTCCCAAAAACCTCTGCTTTACACCCAAAGCCCCGCTCCCTCGAGGTCGGACTCAGCGTTCTCAAACCTCAATGATTCCCGGAGTTCCCTTGGGGCAGGCACCTCACTTGCTGCTGCTGCTGCTGCTTCGATTTTCCGTGGAAAAACTGGATAAACGCCAATTCCCAGAACAGCGACTCACCTGAGCCTCCTCAGCCTCCACCAGCAGCTCCTGCTCCGACTCAGGCGGCTCCTCAGCCGGGTCGTAGCTGTACATGGGCAGCAGCCGGTGCCGCAGCCGGTCGGACCTGCCGGGGGTCTCTGGTGAGCGCTGAGCCCGCATCCCCCGCTGCCCCCGGCCCCGCGGCCCCGCTCACCTGCGCTTCTTCTTCACGTACATCACCTGCATCAGGGAAAGGCATCAGCGGCGCGGGGCTCCGCGCTGGGCTCGGCACCCCCCGAGCCCCCCCAGCACTCACCGCGGCCAGGAGGGCGCCGAGGAGGGTGAGGAGGAGGAAGGGCCCCAGCACGGAGCCCACCAGCGAGTCCCCCGCCGCGCCCGGGGCCGTGGGGGCCGTGGCGTTGCTCATGGCCCAGCGCCGGCTCCTGCCCGCATCGGGGGGGACGCGCCTGCCCGGCCCCACGGACGGGAGCTCTGCAAGCCACAGGCGGCCTTGGGAGTGACTCCCAGGCCGGGAATGACCCGCACCCCGGGAATTCACCGGCCGGGAATGACCCGCACCCCGGGAACCCACTGCCCGGGAATAACTCACTGCCTGGGAATGACCCGCACCCCGGGAATGATCCCCACCCCGGGAACCCAACGCCCGGGAATAACCTACAGCCCGGTAATGACCCGTACCCCGGGAATTCACCGCCCCGGAATGACCCACCGCCCGGGAATGACCAGCACACAGGTAATAACCCACCTCCCGCCCGGTAATAACCAACTACCCGGTAATGATCCCCCTCCCGGTATCACCCCGTGGCGGATGGGGGGGGGGTCACCCCGCACCCCCCTCCCTGCAGAGCTGGGGCTGGGGGGGGGGGGGGGGGGGTGATCCGCCTCCACCAGCGGAAGGACCGGAGGGACCCCCGCACTGGGCTGTGCCCGGGATACCCTCGGACCCCGGATCCCCACCCCAATCCCCCCCTTTCCTCCTGGTCCGGTTCGGGATGTCCCGGGGTCCCCCCCCCCCCCACTCCGGGGATCCCCGCGCGCGCGCCACGCCCCGCCCCGCCCACCTGCGCGCGCCGCCCGCACCCGGAACCCGCGCGGCGCGTGACGGGCGCGGGGCGGGGCCGAGCGCGCGCGCGGCAAGGGGCGGGGCGATGGGATAATGGGCGGGGCTTAGGGCGGAGCGGTGGCGGCGCGTGGCCGGCAGGAGGCAGCAAAGACCGGGAGGGGGGGGGGGGGGGCGCGGGAAAACGCGTGAGGGGAGAAAGGAAAACAGGGCCGAGAACGGAAAAATGGGGAACCAGGAGAGCCAGGAAGGGAAAAACGGGGGGAAAAACCGGGAGAAAGGAAGAAAAGGCCCCTGAGGAGGGGCACAAGGAAAGGCGAGGGAAGGAGTGGGCGGATAGATGGAGGGAGGGATGGGGGAATTGCACACCTGGCCCAGCTGGGGGTGTGGGTGAGAGAAGATGGATGGATGGATGGATGGATGGATGGATGGATGGATGGATGGATGGATGGATGGATGGATGGATGGATGGATGGATGGATATGTGGGTGTGGTGAGAGACAAACATCGCACAGGACTGGGCATGGCCGGGTTTCAGGGGTGCCAGCAGCACGGGCAGGGTCACCCACACTGGGGACTGCTCTGGGGCTCCTGCTGTGGCCGCTCTCCCCCAGGCTGGACCCGTGGGGACTCTGGCAGGGGCTGTGACGGTGCCGGCAGTGTCACCCACAGCGGTGGCAGCGCCCCAGCCCTGATCCCGGCCGCAGGGCTAATCCGCTTTGCCCGCGGGGACCAGATGGTCCCGCTAAGTGGGTCAGGCAGGAGCGGGGGACACCGGGGAGCACCGGGCCCCACTGCGCTTCCCAACAGCTACAAAAAATAATCATCAGGGGGAATGGGGTGAAAAAGAGGGGAATGGGGTGAAAGAGGGGCCTGGACATGGCGGGGTTGGGGGGACACAGCCCCTGGGCTGGCAGCAGGGCAGGGCTCAGCCCTGTGGAGCATCCAGAGCAGCAACTGGTCTGCAGCCTCTGGGATGAACTTGCCCATGGCACAGCCTGCACCTCTGCCTATAGCAGTCCCTGCATTGCTACCTCACCTCCTGCCCAGCCCATTCCGGGTTATTTTCCCCTCTCCAAACCAGAAAAGGGCACCAGTGGTTCCAAGACTGGCCAGCTGCTGTTGTTCCTGGTGTCCCATTGTCCCCAGAGGTCCCACTGGCCCCAGCAGCCCACGCTGACCCCACTCTTCCCAGCAGTGGCACTGGTCTCCTTCTGTGTTGACTCTCCCTGCCCCAGAGACCCCTCCCAAACTATCCCCAGCCCCTGTTCACCACTGCAATGGGGGAACCACAGAGTGCGACAGGACCCCCAGTCCCCCCCCCAGCCCAGCACTGACACCTCAGGAGCCTTCCATGCTGCCACCATCCACCGCTGCCCATCCCCTCCCAGCTGAACCCTGCTGTGCCAGGGCTAAAAATAAATCCATCAATTTCTAGGAAAGCTCCTTGGAGAGCATGAGCGAGTGGGAGCACATGGCCAGGAGGAGCATGCGTGCTCCAGGGGAAGCAGCATCCCTGGGAGGAGACCGGGGGCCACCAAGCCCCTCTATATGGCCAGAGCCAGCCCAGGACACCTGCAGCATCCCCAGATATTTTTTTTACCGATCCACTGCTTCCCAGAGCACCCAGATGAGGGAAAAAAGGGGAGTCAAAGCTGGGCCAGCACAGGACCTGCTCATCCCTGGAGAAATCTCCCCCTTGCTAACCTTGGGGTGGGGAAGGATGTCGGAGGGGCTGAGGGCAGTATCGCCACCCATCCTGGGGACAAGGCACCTTCTGCCCGGGGTGTACGGGGTGTCAAAGCTGGAATAACAGCACAGGGTATTTATTTCTGCCCCAAACCCCGCTGTGAGCCATCACCCCCCTCCCCTGCGCTCCTCGGCCCCCAGCACATAATTGGGGACAGCTTTGCTGAGCCGCTAAGCTCCCGTTTAAGCAGCTGAGCGCAAGTGGCCGGATTTCCAGCCAGCGCATCCCTGCGGCTGCTCATCCGCCCAGAAAGGCCGGGGTGGGGGTGCCGCGGTCCCCGCGGGGGCACAGCCGCCCCGGCTCTGCCCGCTCAGGCATTAACGCCGCCGTCAGCCCGGATTAATTCTGCCCTGGGCTCCCGCCGCAGCTGCAGCGCGGGGCTGGGGCGCACCAGCCCCGTGTGTGCTGCGGGAGGAGCCCGGACACATCGGATCCCAAAGGGAATTTGCAAAGGCTCGCTTGGGGATGGGTCTCCGCACCAGGACAGGTTTGTTCTGCAGGGACATGAGGGAGATGGCCTTGCTGGGGCCAGGCAGGCAGCCCCAGTGGCACTACATAGTGCTGATGCTCTCGGTGCAGGCTCCAGCCAGCCTCTCCCGCATTTATTTTGTGGGAAGGATTTTGTGAAAGAGATGGGAGCACATTCAGAGGCTCCTCGAGGCTCTCTCCTTAAAATGCCCTTTTATTGCAGGGTGCATGCCCCATCAGTGAGCCCATTTCAACATCAGGCTGTTAGTGACACCCCTCCAGTTCCTCTTCCAGGCTGTGGCTGTCCCAAGGCACTGCAGGCAGAGCTTTCTCCTTGGGTGACACTTGCCCAATCTCCGAGTTCACCCACGATGGAGAGACCAGGCAGGAGGCAGAGCCGTGTGAAATACTGGCGTGTTTATTGGTTGGCACTAGATTACAGCCCACACTCTTGGCAAACTGGCACCCACCGATTTTATTTTTTCAATTTTTCACTCTTTTTAAAGACAGTGACGGCCTCCCTCTCACACATAACAGAGGAAGCCCCTCGTTGCTGCTCCTGCAGGTGGGGGTGAGGTCGAAGGTACCAGCTCAGACATAAACCAGACAAACCCTCACAGCTCTGACCAACCATGGAGAGTCTTTGTTTTGGGAAGGAATGGAGAAGCCTCAGGCAAACACGCCTATGGACAGGAGGCTGGACAATGGACCCTGGTCATTCATCCCTCAGCTGGGTCTGGGGTCCCTTCTCCTGATTTGGGGGGGACTGCCAAGAGCCCCCCATGTACACAGAGCTCATGGAAGGACTGAGCAGCAAATGCAAAGTGATCATTCCAGATTTTCTGATTTAATAAATATAAAATAGGACACACAGAAAATTCAACAAACACTCTCAGACCTCCCCAGGTTTCTGAGGCAATTCTAGAGCAAATTCATCAAGTATAACATCAAAATTCCCATCTTCCCACCAAAAAAATAAACCAAACCAAAAACAAAACAACAAAAAATAAACCTCTATGGACTAGCACCAAAGAGAGATTTATAAATCTCCTAAATACCACTTCAGTCCAGTTCAGTTTCTTTTTCACCAGCTCCACTTCAGTTCTGTACAGACCCCTACTACTACCCCAGCACAGCACTGCAGGATCTCCACAGCCCAGAGCAGCTGGATTAGTTCATTCCAAGGTTAGGAAAATGAGGATCCCACCCTGTGCGTGTCAGGGGCTCAGGGAGCAGCTGAGGGACATCCCAGCCATGAGGTCACCACGTCCCTGAAGGGCTGCAGCCACCAGATGATGCCATTACTGAGGAGAATGGAGCCAGGAGGGAAAACCCAGCCTGGGAGCAAGAGCAGAGCAGGCAGAGGGAAAAGCTCCTCACAGTGCCACAGTCACTGCTTGGGGCAGGTCTGCCTGAAGATGCAGCTCCATCCCCCCAGCACAGGCTCCACTTGGGAGGGTAAAACTCCAAACCAAGCCCTCACCGAGCCCCAGTGCTTCCTGTACGCTCTGCACAGGGATGGATGCATCCGGCTGTGTGAAAACACCAACAGGTTAATTTGGGATGAAACAGAGAGAAAACCTACAGGCAGGGAAACCTACAGCTCTGGTACAAGGGGCGCTCGCTGGACCTGTGCAGCCTCCAGGATTTTGATCCCTGCTCGCTGTGGAATGCTGAACACAGCTTCTGCATGGAAAAGCTGAGGCAAAGGCCCAAAGCCTCTGCTAGATCCGGGAAGGGAACTGAGGATTCCTGACATTCCCTACCCACATTTTTAGCCACTGAATACTTTGTGGCCACACAAGGGAAAAAGCAACACTTGCAGATTCCAACCCCTTTTCAATTTTTCCCTTTACAGAGTTTGCTTTAAGGCACATTCCAGCTCAGGCTGAACGAGCTGCCTCAGTGCTGCACAGGAGAGTAGGGAAGAGCTCACAGCATCCACCTACACAGGAACAGAGCTGGTGGGAATGCTGATACTGCTGCTCCTTCCAGCCTCAAACCCAGCTCCCACCTTCCCCCCAGCACCAGGGCAGACAGCAGCAGGTTTGGGTGGGGACCCTGATGTGCAGCCCCCTCACTCAGCTGGGTGATGAAGAGCAGCCCCTCCTCACCTCACACCCCAAACCAACGTTCAAGACCTGCCAGGAGGGGGGACCAGAGGGCTGCTGCACCTCGCTGGCTGTCTGGGGACACCCTCTGCTGTACCCAGCTCCAGCAGTGCCCAGAGAGCACAGCCAGGCTGAGAGCCAGCTGAGAACTGCTCCCAGGGGATGCTGACACACAGAGTGACACCCCACATAAGGGTCAGGCCAGCTGAGGTAAGAATCCCACTATCCCACACTACCAGCTCGGAGCAGCACCAGTTTTAGCACAGCTGGGACTCAGTGGCTGAGCAGAGAGAGCGAGCAGCACTGTCCAGGCTGCAGAACCAGAGCCACCCTCCCACAGCTCCCCTGGGCCTCTCACAGACAGGGCAACGCTCAGTCCCAAACCAATTAACACCAGTTTAGATAAAACCACTCCAACTGCTGGGGGTGCAGCTGTACGAGCTCTAGAGAGAACCTCAGATGCTGAGGAAGATGGGAATTGTGTGGTGCAGGGAGCAGTTCAGGGAGCACAGGGCTCAGGCCTGCTCTGAAATCTGCATCTCTTCCATCAAGGCTATTCCTGCCCCAGGAGCCATTTCCAGTTACAAGGCATAACATCAGCCACTCTGTAGTAACAGCATCAATCCATGCCACATTAAAACACTTTCTTGGCACAATTTATTTTTTCTGACCCAAACAAATAAGCCATTAGCAAGTCATTAACAATATTCTACCCTAAATTGTCAGTTTAACAGCCCTGTAAAAACATTTTTAGTTTAAAAACAAAAGTGTGCATGCTGCTGATATTAAAACTGCAGTTACTCTTTCAGGAGTACCAGCTGTTTTGTTGCAAAGCATTTCCAACATACTAATCTGTACAGTAGAGACCAAGACTCGTTGAAGGCAGTAGATGGCTGTGTCAGGTGCCTCGCAGGGCACGGGGACAGCAACTCTGGGAATTTCTTGGACACTTCCAGATAGAATATTCAAGCCCTTTTGAGAGTTTGGTTCAGGCTGACCAGCACATAGTGAGAAAGGATTGTACATTCGTCTCTAAGTTGAAGTGAGCTGAACTGGTGTAATTTGGGCTCAATTCCAGACGCTTGGGTTTGAGCTACTCCTTGAATAATGGGCTGTTCCTTACGCGTGGTTTTCCATGTCAGCGATCACTGGCACTGCTTTTGGCCTTGCTACTCCACACCGATGAAAGCAGGGAGAACAAGGAAAGGAACAGAAAAGGATCTTAAAATGAACAGCTTCTTGCCAAACCAGCAAGGATACCATTCCCCCTTGTCCCAGGCTCCATGGATATTTCTATCAGATTTTCATATTGTAAGCGCTTCTCAGGAAGAGAGAAAACTCCAGAACAGTGAGTGTTTATTAGAATATTTTTTTGTTAAATAAAGAGCAGGAAAAAAAAAGGAAAAAAAAAAAAAAGTACTGCAGATTTAATTTCACATCTTGGCTCTGCTCTGACAAAGGAGAAGTTACTGAACTCAGCAACCACTTCTTGTCCCAAGCCAGGGATTAATTAATGCCCCTCCCAAAACTTGTACCTGTCCCAACCCACCCCCCCCAACCCCAACCCTTCCCCCATTTTATTTCCCAACTAGACAACACTGTTGGCAAATCAAGACAGCATGAAACTTACAGCAATAAAACAACAAACCCCCAAGTGAAGTGTGCCGGCGGCGCATCGGGGAGCTCTCCTGTGCTGCTCCCCCGGCAATGCTGCCTGCAGGAGGCAGCTGTACCTTTCACGGAGGGCACACTTCAAGCACGCTCCACGGTGCGACCGTAAGTGCTGCAGAACCACAGGACAAGAGACTCAACACCTGAATTTTCCCCCCGGGACTTCTCTTCGGGGACGCGCGCGCGGTTCGGCGAGCGCGGTCCCACGCTCAGCACAAACCCCAAGTGTCCAGTTCAGCACGGCGTAAGGCATGTGGACAAGAGAGACGCGAGCAGGACGCAGCGGGAGCAGGGACAGCGTTGCTGAGCCTCACTGCAGTCTGTCCGTCCGACCCCCCTGCAGCCCCGATCCCAGCGCAGCCGGCGCGAGCCGGGCGCTATTGCAGCGTTGCTGAGGCTGTTTGGTTTTGGCCAGCGGCTCCAGACCAGCTCCGTGTGGTTTCCCTCGGATGGAAATGCAGAAACGTCGGTGGAAGCTGCCGGAAAAGCCGCAGGGATGTCTGCAGGGATGTCTGCAGGTGATCCGAACTCTGCCCTCAACTTCAAGTGTCACTGCACTAAATCGGGAGATACCGGTTGGGGAGTAAACTGGCCTAGCCACTAGCACTGTCACAGAATGTGTGTTTTTAAAAAACAGAACAAAAGGCAAACAGATTAATTATGAACCCTTCTTTTCAGAAGCAGACCAGGATTAAAAAAAAAACCAAAAAACTCCCGCAAAATTAAAATGTTAGATGCTCCATCTAAAAAAAAAGTTTATACAGATGTGCTGCGAGTAATCCCCACACGGGTCTGAGCAGCACCTTACAGTACAGACTAAGACTTGAAGAGCTGATCTCACATTGGAAGTATTTTAATTAAAAAAAAAAAAAAAAAAAAAAAAAAAAAGTGGCTCTGGCTGGGGTGACACGAAGGGGACACTTGGGACACTTCAGAGCACAAGGCAGATGCAGGGCTGGCAGCCTCCAGGCCGTGGAGCGGAGTACCGGGAAAGGGACACTTCATGCACAAAATGTATCTTACAAAATACAGATCCAAAAAAAAAAAAAAAAAAAAAAAAAAGCAAAAAAAGCCAACAACAACGAAAAAAAAAAAAAAATCATCCCACCTTGCACTAAATCGCAGCACTCTGAACACTTGCTCTGCCCCATGCCTGGTGTGAGGGAGGAGGCATGGAAACGGGGAGGGGAGGGAAATCCAGGTCTCAGTCTGCTTTAGGGAATTGCTCTGGCAGGGACCTCGTCATCATCTGATGTCGGACACGGAGCTCTCGGAGTACGGCGTGCTCATCACCGGGGTGCCGTTGTTGGCCAGACAGCCTTGCCTCAAGGTCTCAAAATACGAGGCCTGCACTGGTTTATGATACTGCAGAACTTTTATGGCATCCTCTATCTTAAACCATTCCCTTTTCCTTCCTGGGGGCAAAGAGAGAAATCAGTAGATGCAACAGAATGATGTTTTCTGATCTCAAGGGCCTCCCCCTCCACACTGGCAGCTCCCCATCCCCAGGGACAGGTGTTTGTTTAGGGCAGGACATCCCCTGTCTTGCATTTCTTAATTAAAAAACCCTTATTTTGCTATTTCTGCAATTTCTAGTCAAGCCAGATGCTTATTTTAAGACAACTCACACCACACACACGAAGCACCACCCAATTTCCATCAGTTTGCAAGTGGACTTCAGTTTCCTGTGGACAGCTCTCAGTTCTTACTCTTTCCATAAAGAGCCTGAGGGGAGTCATGTTCCATTTGCTGCAGTGCAGTCACACACCTTGTGGCAACAACAGGTTCATTTTCACTTGGGAATCCAATTGAAACACAAAGGTTTCAAAGGTAACAGGAAATGATTAACCCACACTGCTCACATGTATTTCCTCTAGAATCAGACAGACAGTTCTTCATCTTTGCTTGGTACCATCCAGTGCAAGAATTAAACACAAAATTGCTGCAGAGGCAGCTGGACACTCACTTGGCTTCTCCTGGGCCACAGAGGCGACAAATCCTCAATTTCACCACAGTTTTTTTTTCCCCAAGCAACCAAAGGACACACCACTGCAACTTTTCCCAATGACACTCACACAGACTCCAGGTCCCAGAGGGATGCTGAGCTGACCTGTGGTTTGTTTCCATCAGTTAATGCAGCATGCACCAAGCTTACCAATATTGACAGAGTCCTCCCAGTCCTCCAACACTTCGGTGACGATGAGTACGTAAACATAAGTCCTGTGCTTCCTGTCCCGGTTCTGGAAGGCAAAGGGGACACAGTAACCACCAACCAACAGCAACACCAAACCTTCCTAGGCAGGAGGGCACTGGGCTGCTGCAAGGTGCAAACTGCCCACCTTGGGTGCAGCTCCTCCCACAGCACAGCTCATTCTTAGCTGCTAAAAACCACTTTAAATTTTAAATTCTTAAATCAGAGAGGTCTGAAAGTGTTGACAGGGACACCCAAAAGTGTAGTTCCTGATCTGTGGAGCAGTGGCTTGTGGACTGATGTGCTCACAAATTAGTTCTTCAGCTGGGAAGGTTTTGACCTGTTTTACATGAGTTTGAAGGAGTCAGTGCCAGAAGAGCAGCAAGAGGAGCCGTGTCTGGTCACACAGCTGTGCCAGGTGTGGCTGTGAGTGCCACAAATGAAAGGGGGACCCCACTCCCCGGCTTTTGGCAGCACCAAGAATATTCAGCCACACCAGTTATCACCAGTGATTTCACTGAAGTGCCCATTGCAAAGATCAGAATTGCTGAGCAGGTGTGTTTTTATTTACCAGCAAGGCTCACTCCACAACCCTGCAGAGCCATTGTTACTCCAAGATGATTTTTTGCAACAAAATTTCAGTGTCCATGTCTGAAACTTACCTCAAAAATTCCCACTAATCTTCCTAACGTCCCTTTCACTCCGGCCTAGGGAAGTTCAAAGAGAAAAGAAACATGCTTTAACAACAGCTCTGTACGTGTTTCCTACTTGTTGTGCAGGACCAGTTCCTTTAGGACAGGAAGCAAACGCTCTAAAATTCTGCTTGTCTTAAACCAACACATTCACAAGGCAAAAAACAGAAATGTATCCTGAGTGCTCAACATCCAAGCATTCCCAGGGTTTTTATTTCTCTTGTTTTCCTACATTCAAACAATTTTGAATTCAATCTGGAGGAAGAAGAAATATTTGAGGAGTTACTCCTTGCATACCAATACAGTCCTCGTGACCAGAATCTCCTCTGAAGGTTATTACAGCCTGAGCAAGGGGAATATTGGCTTTGGGGTTTGGCCATTTTACCCCCTCAAAATCAAAGTTTAAGGAAATAACATACGTGTAAGACATTGACTTACACCCCCAAGAGTGATGTGAAAGCTCCCAGGTATTTCAGGGGTGTCCTGCACACACCTGAAAGAAGCCAATATAAACACAAAATGCTGTGATGTGGCCCTGGCAGCAGGAACTAGAGAGGTTTGGATATAACACAAAGGGCAGATGCACACTGAAATAAAGCTCTTGAATCAAGCAGAGACACAAATTAAGAGATCTAAGCAACAGTTTTGTCTGTTTGAATACTACTGAGGATGTACCACCCCATCACATTTGGTGTCCCTTTGGCTCCTCTCTGCTGGCTCCCTCCCCACCCTCCTCAGCTCTCGGTGCAAAATCCCAGCCCGCTCTCCTGCCCTTGCTTATACTCCCTCTGTTTTATGACTGTAAATGGTTGGAACTCAAGTGCTACAGACAAGATGAGATCTTGCTCCATGATTTAACAGGTCTGAACCAACCCACACAGCCTGGCACACGACCCAGCCACAACTGGGAGGTAGAGTCGGCTCCGTCTCCAGCAGCTGGAACGCATCCCATGAACAGCCCAGGGAAATTGTGCCTCTTGCAGATGGGATACAGAGATATGATTATGCCAGGCTTCTTTTTTTAAAACAAACAATGCTTGAGTCTCATTAACGCTAAGACAAATTCTCTGTCCCACTGACCAGCTGATGCACAGTCTCGTGCTGTCAGAAAGGAAGAACTTTCTTTAGCGAGACAATTTTCCTGGTTAAGTTCCAGCCTAGTGCATGAACAGGTACCAGAGAATCCAGCCAGAGAGCACCTCCCTCCTGCTGCCAGGCTGCTGATGTGGAACTGCCCCAGGAGCAAAGGGTTTGGAGCTCCCTCACTAAGCAGAAATCTGGAAATCCTTTTGGTAACGCACTCACTGAGCTCCGCTTCTAGGAAGTGAATCAACTGAATCTCCCGTTTCATTTTTGGACACAAGCTTTATTGTCTCACCAGTATTTGTGACATCCTGCTGGGCCCAGAGGTGCCTCAGTGCCTGTGGCTCTGGAGCTATTTCTGGAGCGAGCAGCAGCTCCATGGAGGAGCAGCAATTCCATGCAGGTCGGTGCCCGCTGACCTTTGAGGATTCCACCTCCTCTGCCAACCCTGCTGACCTGGCCTCAGCCCTCTCCCAAGGCATCTGGAATGTAAATGCTTCAAATGCATTTCCCTCAAGGAACTCCTTCAGCACTGGGATTTATTTTTAGCTCAGCCGTGTTCAACAGGCAGCAGAAACACAGGGAGGAACTGGAGGCTTCCACCTTCACAACATACGGACATGAATGCATTAAAAGGTGAAGCAGAATCAAATATTTCTGGAAAATAACTGTCTTTAACCAATGCTTCACTGGTTTCTGGAAAAGGTTGTTGAATTTCTGCTCTCCCTACCTGTAGGCACTGAATCAGATGCCAGGGATTTTGTTGTGATGGTTTAGTGAACTCTCAAGTCTGACTAGAAATAAATTTATCACCAGGCAACTGGCCAACCTGGAGACGAAGGATGAATTCTGCTCAAGCAGCCTCCCAGGCAGTTTATCCCAGCTCTAGAACTGTGCTGGAAGTAGCAGAGGGAGGTGAGGAGCCCTTCCTTCTGTGCTGGTAAAGAGAGATGATGGAAATAATGCTGTCTTCAAACCAGGATCCTCCTGCTCTGTCCTGCCTGGTCTTATTTGCCCAAAAAGGCACAAAAAACGACGCCAAGACAAACATGTCTTGTAGGGAAATCACGTTGAATTATCATCACACAACTGGAGAAAGCTCTAAGCTTTGCTTCACACACAAACTTCTCATGTGCAGTTGTAAATGGCAACATAAAAGAATGGTTTGGTTAAAAAAAAAACATTGGGTTGATTTTATAAAGCAAGTTCTTACCAGAGCCTGCAAAACACATCAGCCACTGCTCCTGGGGGCCAATGCCTCTCTCAGCCTGTTTTCCAGGTACAGTGGATTTTAAAGACAACATACAGGACACCCAACACCAACAGGATTGTCATGCACCTGTTTTTGATGGAGCACTGAATTCCCACACCAGCAGGAGAGTTGGTCTCTGTACAATGGCACAAACAAGCATGGAAGTGGAATTCACAGTCTCACACGGATTTCTAACATAGAAGCTGCCCAAGACACCTGAGAAAATAACCTACAGCTGTTATCACTAACAAGTCAAGCTTGGTAACCAGCAAGGGAACTGCCAGGCTCCTCTCTGGGCAAGCTCCCATCTCCTCCTTTCATATGGGCAACAAAATTTTCTTGAAGAGTTAAAGCACAGTCCCAGGCTCACCCAGGACTGCAGCAGGGTCTGAATCTTAATTTGCAGCAGATGACTCAGGAATTTTCTCCTCGATGGTAAATTAATGGGTGAGACCAGTGAGTGAGGAAGAGGCAGCACAATTGATTTTGTGCCCCTCTAAGCACTGGAAGTGCTGCAATCCTCCAAGTACATGGAGAATCCCAGGAGGATCCCAGGAGGATGATCCTGAACCCATCAGCAGGGGTAGGAGAGCACCAGCACCAACTGCAGGTGTGGAAACACAGGAAAGGATTCCCTGGGAAAGGCACACTCAGGTACAAGAGGACACACAGAGCTGGCAAAATGAGCTTTTCCCCTGCTCTGCTGATCTACATCAGTGTCCAGGTTTCAGAGGAGGAAAAGGCAGCTCTGGCAAGAGCACATCAGCCACAGGCACTGCCAGAGCCAGCTGCCTGCCCAGCACACGCTTCAAACCCCCAGTGCACCCAGAGGGGTGGGCTGGGAGCTCAGGACAAGGAACAAAAACCTGGAGGAAATGAAGCTTTACTAGTTCTGCTGCTCATGGAACAACTTGTTTTAATAAAGAAAAATTACTGAAGCCATCCAAGAACAGCAGGTTCAGGTTTCAAAGCTGAAAATAAGTTGGGGTCAGATGCAAAAAGCAGCCTGCAGCAACACCATCTGTTCCTCGGGACAGCTTTTATTTCCTTCCATCTGAGCTAAGGAAAATGTGGGTTGGAATTTCAGCTATTTTACTTTGCTCTATTAGGCTCAAAGCCTGCATCTACTACAGATTACTGCTGGGCAAGAGAACTGTGGTGGAACACCCAAATCTTTGCTCTAAGACCTGCACTACTGAAGGTGCAAATCCCACCCAGAAGGGCTGTGGACATGTTTGGAGGATGCTGATTCCAGGCCAGCTGGGCAAACTCTGCCATCTCAGAGAGGGTCAGACTCATTCATCTCATTTAGTACTACATGACACCTTTATTTGCTTCTACAGTTGTGAAATAGAAATGAAATTCCATATCAGAATGAAGAATTTTCAGATACTGCAATAATTTTGGTGAAGTCTGAGTACACAGGGTAAGGGGCAGTGACTTTGAGCCACCTCTTGCACTGGGTATGACCAACTAGGAGGGGTTCAAAGGCCATCACCTCATCATTCAGCTGTGGGGCCTGCAGTACTTTAAAAAAAAAACCTTCCTATTTTAGCACTGAAAGATATTGATATCTGTGTCCTAAATTACTAACAAAATACACAAAACAGGAAAGATTATCTATAAAGCATGTTTAGAAGAGGGGGAAAAAAAAGTTCCAGCAACCAGATCAAAGTACTGCCGTGATGGACTATTCTTGATATTGGCACCAATTGCCTGTTTGATCACAGATCAAGCACAGATTATCTGGCTTTTGACTCCCATGAAAAAAGAACAACCAATGCTCCTGCAGTGTTATAAAATTTGACATTTACTAAGTATTTAAAGGTCAGGATGTGAAGAATGCTCTAAGTGAAAAAGGAACTGGTGCTGAGTGTCACAGATGAGTGTGGAGGCTTTTTTCAAAGTCACTCTATAATAAGTTTAAGGCATCTATTTCTAAACCATGATGTTCACCAGTTGCTCAGACCCATAAAAACCCCTTATTCCTAAGCAAAGAACACACTCCATGAGCACCACGACCTGTTTGAAAAGGGCACACACCTTCCACAAGGTGAGCTTTAGAGCACACGTGGAGTCCCCAGCTCTGTAGGACTGACTACAGCACTTCTCAGCAACCTGCCAAAAATAAGAGGTTTCTTCTGAAGAGGCAGCTCTGCCCCAGAGATGCTGGGTGTCTGCTGTCACTCTGCACAAACAATGCCCAACAACTCCAGTCACTTCCAATTCCATGCAGACAGCAGGGAGCATGACAAGTGTGGGTACCTGTCTACTTTAATACTTGTGCTGGTACAGACTAATAGAGATAAGGACTACCTCAAACTAGGACAAGGACTTGAACTCAAACTGGGACAGAGGGATCACAGCCTTCACTCAGAATCAACATTTCATTTTTGGAACAGAAAGAGGGAAAAGTTAGGTAACTTTAGATGACAATTATTTCTGCAATAACTTGGATAAACCCAAATACATAGACAGTAAAATTAAAACAGTGAATGCAGAAGTTAAAATGTTCATTTAGGGAAGCATGTTTTGGAAAAAAAATGCACACCATGCAAAAGAGAATGAATTGGGAAGAGATAGTCTATTGTCATCCTCAAAAGCCACAAGCAACAGGAAGGGTCACAAGTTCTTACAGCTCTTCCAACCAGCTCTTATTAAAAATTGGAAAAGGCATACCAAAGTCGAGGAAAGAAACTCCACACATTTCTCCCACAGATTTGAGCAGCATTGCTCATTGCCATGGGCGAAACTGGATTTTCCCTCTCCCACCTCAAGCAACAAACTGGAACTTTCTCAGTTAACCTGTGTCCCCATGACTGGCTGTCCCAGGAGAGAAGCAAAGACCTCAAACCTACTCAGAAATCAGCCTCAGCTCCAAATGATCCCAGAACACCTGGATTCACATGGGAGAGAGGGCAAGGACTCCCAGCAGCCTCCTGAAACCCTTCCTGCCAAACTGACAGCAATGAACTGGGAAGATGGGTGCTCCTGTCTTTCCCAACACTCCTGCTGTGCTCCAACAACATCCCCCTGCACCCAGCAAACAGCCCCAAGCAGCTCGAGGCCATGGGGATAATTCTGTGTGCAGAGCCTCAGCAGCAGCACATGAGCACAGCCCAAAGGGGGAAGGCCTCGCACCCCTAAAGCTCTGCCAGCACCACTGGCAGCTGCAGGGCGCTCATGTCAGCCAGCTCTGTGTCAGCTCCTCCACCTGCAGCACCCACCCAAGGCTGGGGGTGCCCAGGTGAGCCGGGGGTGAGCCAGGGGTGCCCAGGTGATTCCCAGGTGCTCCCAGTGCCCCGAGCTGCTGCGGTTCCGCGCCGGGAGCAGCCGGGCAGAGGTGCCTCGCTGGGCAGAGCTCACCCCTGCCAGGCTGCCAGGGCTTGAGTTGCACTGGCAGCGGGCAGGGCTCCACGTGAGCAGGGAACACCAGCCGGGGAGCGGGATTATCTCAGCCAGCCCAAACCAGTTCCTGCGCGGCCGCAGCCGTGCCAGGGCTCCCTTCCAGGCAGCGCTGTCATGGAAAGAGCGCGGCTCTCCCGGGGCGCCGCTGCCCGCGCAGGGAGTGCCCCTGCACGTTTATTTTAAGGGTTGAGAGGCAAAGCTCCGCACCTCCTGAATGAACCCTGGACTTCTGTATCAAATCGCCTCATTATTAATAATGCTTGGGCTGAAAAGCAGGAGTCTGCAGCTAAAAATATTTCTATTGTTCTGGTTACACTCACTTTGGCTTGTAAAGCTGTTGAAAGGTTGCCGAGTTACTGGAAAAGCAGGAGCTGGGTTACAAGCTGGAAATAAAATTTGCAAGCAGCAATTCCCAGTATTAGAGGGACCTAAAGAGACTTAAAAAAATAAACTTTGACTGTGTAATCTCTTTCTGATAAACTGCTAGATTATTAAAACATCCAAAGAGAAACATGCAACTCGAGATCTGCCACATTTGGTTAGTCCAACAGTCTGAATATTCAGAGTTGTGTTAGACAGCAGCATGTACTTCCAAATAATTCAGGAAAAAAACCTGCATAGACCAGATAATTCAAAAAAGCAGCTACAGGAGAAGCTTCTTCCCAAGTCCCATCAATTAGCTCTTGCTTTCTGTTCTGCACAGAGCCCAAAGATTTATAACCCTCTCAAAAGCATTTTTAATCCTGCCTTATGTAACTGTGAACCTACTTGGCCCTTCCATCTATAATCACGCAGTCATTTCTGAACCTAAGCATCTCCCCAGTTGGTTAATATTCAGAAGCAAATTCTAAAGACATGTTTTACATACACTGCAGTCAACTGCTATTTACTGCCTTTACACTTCTTATGAAGAAAAAAATTGTTCTTCCAGCAGCTTTAAGAGAAAAATGTGCCTTCTCCCTACAGCCCATTGATCTGTGTTTGATCTGCTCTTTGATCTCCTTTCTGAAAGAGCTTCAAGCAAAAAAGAGAAAAGAAACCAACCAACCCATGCACACTATAGGAACTGCTGCTGGTAACTTATGGCCAATTTCACTTATTCACATAAACCTCACTATCTATTCTAAACCAAAAACATACTTAGGTTCCGATCTTTTGATTGCTTTTAGTGGCTCCTAGGGGTTTATTTCTACCTTGTACCCAAGTACTAGACAGTTCCACAAAGGCACAGCTGAATTTTGAACCTCTCTTACAGAGAAAACGAAGCAGAGACTATATATACACTGAAGTGACTAGAGCTGAACTTTATTTTCAGTTAAAGGTATCAGGCAAGGACAAGCTCATTCCAACTGAGAGGTTTAATTACATTCCCATGTTCTCTTATTTAGGACTCCGTTTTCCTCCCACGTGGGATGGGGATATCACCAGTGACCCTGCCTGCCTCTCCACCTCAAGGAGAAGAAGGAAGAGTGATGAAAACAAGCCCAGAGAAGTCGGGCTGCCGGGGCAGGGTGAAGGCACTCACCTCCTCACACACCTCGCGCACGGCGGCCACGCCGGGCTCCTCCTCGGGCTCCATGCCACCCCCGGGGACAATCCATCGGTCTGGATGGCGACTACTGCTCACCAGCAGCACCTGTGGGGAGCAGAGACAAATGATGGGCACCCCAAGAGATTGCGCCTCACACACCCCCAGACACCACCCACCCAAGGCAGGGCCTTGCCACTGCTCACTTCTCCCTCAGCCCCATCCACGCAGCCGTGGAAATTCCAGCAGCAGTGACACTGAGGCGCTCCCACACTCTGTGTTCCCTCAGCCACTGCCTCTCCCTGCTCTGATGCATTGCAGGAAAAACTGTCCTTGCACACCAAAACACTCATTAGCACGGGGCACAGCATCACCCACAGTGTGAGTTCACTGCAGAGTCCTCCCAGCTCGGGATACACCTCAGGTAACAACACAAATGCACAGATGCTGCTCAGCACCTCCACCCCTTGCAGAAGTACCTCCATTTAATTCTCCTGGTGCCTTTGGCCCTGCCTGTCCCTGCACTTCTGTCACTAACAACACATCCACGTCCAGGAACTCCTACTGCATTATTTATGTGCAATTGTCCGAGCACAGATTCCCAGCCCCACTGTTTGTCACTTCTTTTGCAGTAGGCACTGAGGATTCAGCTCTGGAGCCAGCACTTGGCTACTTTTGGTTTAGAGGAGGTTGTTTAATGAGGTAAAAGCAAAATAAAAGCCTATATTAAACCTATTAAACTTAAAACCCCCTAAGAAAAGGCTGCACGGAAGGACAGACTTTTGTGAATGAGAAAAATGGTTCATCCCCCTTCCCAGGGATGATTCCCTGGGATGATTCCCTCTTCCCATATACATGTTTTGTGGCAGGTTTTCTTGAAACAGTATTTTTCATTCCAGGGTAATTCTGCTCTGTAGAAGTTCAGGTTCTGATTTGCCACCTCCCAGCAAGACAAACTCTAACTAACACTCTCAACTGACTACAGACTGTCCCAAAGAACAGCGAGACGCTGAGCTTATTAAATCTACTTGCAATATACCCATGAGCAGAGATGGAAACTTAAAACAACACTAATACTGTTGTCCAGCTCTCTAAACAAAGCTGGTTCATTAGAGTCATCCTGCTGTACTTCATCATTTCACAGGCACAAAGCTCAGAGCCAAAGCGACTTGCTCCAGAAACTTTCCAACATACCAGTCCAATTAGGTTCCAGGCCAGCTGTAACAGTGTCAGACATTTGGGAGTTACACTGTGGAGACACTGAAATCCCAGGCTTTACTGGGGAAACAGTGATTTGCCAGTAGGATATGAAAAGATTTGCACTAATTACCCAAAGGAATCTACCTACAGAACTCAAACTGCCAAAACAAAAACAAGCACAAGATTTCCAGGATTTTTCAGTTGGTTTATCTTGAAAATTCTCTGACCAAACTGATAATGGAAACAAATGAAGGTGCATGAGCCACCTCAGGTCCACAATTCCAAGTGGGATGGTGCCTGCCCCATCCTCTGGGCAGGCTGTGACAGAACAGTGTTTGCTTTGCAGTGACATCCCAAGTGTTTGGCCCTCTCCAAGAGGAAGGCAGAATTCCTTTCCTCCAGGCATCCAGTCCATGTAAAACTCCACCAGAAAGCCATGCCTAAATAGGGAATGTAAACTTCATTCATCCTCAGAGCCCTTGGGACAGCAGCCAGTCCCTGCCAGGCTCCCCAGCCACCTCAGTTTGCCACTGTGCCTCTTCCTAGCACAGTACTTGACTTCTACTCCATCCCCACTCATCCTCCAAAAGAGCTTGGACTCAAATTCCTGGCTCTGGGTCAGTTGGTGATTCTGAGGACAAAGCTAAAGAGCAGGAACAGCCATTTCAAGTGCACCTTTGCTGCCAGGTAAGGAAGCACCAGCTCTGCCACTTCCCATTGCAATTCAGAGCTCCAGCTCGAGGGGAAAAAAACCCAGAAAAATATAAAAAAAACCCTCCAAAGAACCAGATCTTTGAAACTCAGCACAGCACATCTCACAGCCCTGAACTCCTGCCACCTTCCAGGCGTGAGAACAAGGATCTGCTGCAGAATCCTGGACACAGACTGCTCCAGGAAACCTGCTCAGGCTGAGACAATGCCTCAGCAACACACCAGGAGGAACTTCTGGGTGCAAACAATGGTTTGAGGCCAAGAAAATGAACTTCAGCTGCTCTGGCAGTTGAGCATTTTCTGAATAGAATTAACATGAACAACCCTTGCTGGGAAGGAAAAACCTGTCATTCTCACACTTTTATGTAATCAGACTATTTCCTGTTTAATAAAAAGGAAATCCCATTAAGAGAGTGCAGGAAACAAGCCCTACAAGGTCATTCTTTTAAAACAACTTCAAACAGGATATTGCTACCAATGAGCTCTCCCAAGACAAAGGGGTTGAGTTCCAAAGGAGGGGGAGACATTGCTGTGTTGGAAAAAACCCACACTTCCAACACCAGTCCTGGATCCAGAAACATGCAATGCATTCAGAGGGATCAAGGAAAAAGTTGTCATCATCCAAATCCCAAAAAGGTTTGGGTTGGAAGGGACCTCGAAGCCCATCTCATTCCATTCCCTATCACTTTCCAGTAGACCAGCCCAGGGTACAGCTGGCTTTTTAGCTCATTAACTTCTATATTACATAAATAACTTTTATTTTAATACGTTCTAAAGTACTTAATCTAAACAGCCATCAAAAAATAAACCAAAATTTAGTTATGTTTTTAAATCAGGCTAGAACATGTAGGAAGGTCAGACATTTCTATTTTATCCTTGCCAGGCAACTGTGTTTAAAATGGCTACTGAGACTCTTGGCCTGCCAGGAATTTTGGAGTTAGATTTTGGAGCCACGTCCTGCAGACTTTTTGGAAAAGCATTTGCAGGTAATACACATGTCCCATGGCCAAGTTGTGTTTTCCAGGATTTCAAAGACAATGATGTCATTTCAAAGCAGGGAAATGAGCAACACAAGCCTCTCTGGCAAGGCAGGAGGTGGCCCTGCTGAAACTCTCCCACACAATCCCCCACAAAAGAGAAAGTTTAGAAAAATAAGCCAAGTTTGAAGTGTGCAGCAGGGGCTCGAAGCAGAGCCTCGAGGCAAGAACGTTCAAAGCTGCACACAACAAACAAACCCAAACAAACCTGAGCAGTACTAACCCTGCCTGGAGGAGACAGGAAACACACCAGGACATCTAAGGCTGCCCAGACAGCCACATGGAATAAGGAGCTCCATGGGAAAAGGGGGAAAGAGTTTGTCCCTGGGATGAATATGGGCATCCCCCATACACAACACTTTAAAATAACTGACACAAACCACTGTATCCACATGGAGGGGTTTTTCTGTCTTCTTTTCACAGGAATAATGGGGCTCTGCAAAGCAAGAAGTGGGCACCCAGGATCAGGCAGAGAATTAACTCCCCATTTGTGGAACAGAGGAGCAGAGATTCCCAGGTTCTTCCATGCTATAGTGGATTTAAACAACATCCACCACCCATAAATAAAACAAGAGAGGCTACACCATAAGGAACACAATTCCTCAAAAGAGGCTCCACAGCAGAACTCGAGCAGACAGAAAGGGCCACAGCCCCGTGAGGAGATGGGCCACAGCATGAGTAGAAAATGAGCTGAGAACCTTCCAGACTTCCAGGGAAAACCAGCGCTACCCACCTGTGCCAGACAGGGCCCGGAGAGCTGGCAGCCAGCACAGGGAACAGCAGGCAAGATGTTAAACCCAGGGTCTGGCCCAGCAGCCTCCTGCTGCCGGGAGCTGATCCATAGCTGCTGGCTCCTGACACTGCCTTACAAGCTTCCCCTCAATATTTTCAGGCTTTCCCTCAATATTGACATGCTTTCTATCAATACTGTCGTGCTTTGTATCAACATTAAGCTATAAATCACACTGCTTGCACAGCAGCTGAAGCACAAACCTCCCAGCACTGCACCTCATTTCCCACTCCAGCATCATTTATCAGAGCACAGCCTGCAAGGAAACTCTGCTGCCGCAGAGGCTGCAGGAGCTGGGAGGAGAAGATGGCTGACTGCAAGGCTTTTGCTGTTCAAGCTGCCTTTGTCTCAAAGTTTCAGTTTAAAACGAGTGTGCTCTCTCTCAGGAGCTGAGCTGTGCTGCCATGTGCCCCATGGCCAGGCAGATCCCAGAGCTGGTGCTGTGTCCAGCATAACAAACACCTTGGGTGCTTCACTGAAAATTAACAAAATTCTCCCAGTCCCCAAATATCAGTCCTGTAATGCTTTTCTACCTGACAAAAGCGGGATGTTCATCTGACCACACCAAATCACCTCTAAGCCCTACAACCACCAGCAAGGGGTGAGAACTGGGGGAGTAGGGGAGAAGAGGGACACTGCTGTCACTAAAGCTGCACAAAATTCATCTCATTTCCCTGGCAGCAGCACAGCCTCCATGACTCCCCAACAAATCACGTGTTTTGCCAAACTGCAAAGGCAGCTTGCCCCAGGGTGCACGCCAGGGCTCACGGGAGGGCTTCTCCCACCCTCTTGCTATTCCAGGCACGTTGTGGAGCTCGCACATGGTGGGAGTGAATCCAGCCGTGGGTCAGCAGGGCTGCAGCCCGCCCTGCACCTGCCAGGGCCAGCAGCTGGGACCACAGCGCACACTCTCACCAGAAATCCCTCCCTGCCCATAACAGCCTGTCCTGCCAGGAGCATTCCAGCTCCTCAACAGGATACGTTTCCTTAGACAAGTGTTATTTTTGCACATGCACCTGCACCAGGCTCCGTGGGATAATGGGATTTAACTGATAACGAGGGATCCAGGAGCTGGAGGTGGGAAATTCACGGCAGGACGGTGCAAAAGGGAAGGGATTCGCACTAGAGAACTTGACAAAAGTAAAGCACAAGTTTTGGAACGGGAGCAAGAGGTGAACTGGAAAGAGTTCAAGTCAGTTCAAGTGCTTGGATCGCACCTACAGTCCTATAACCAGAGAGGAAAAAATACAGCAGATTCTGTTGGTTTTTAGGCTGCTGGTTAGAATAACAATAATAAATCACCGTGCTGCTGCTCTGGCTCCAGAGCTCCACAGGTCCTGTTACTGCTACTGCAGCACTCCTGCTGCTTCAGAGCCACTGCCTGCTCCTAGCAGGGAGGAACACAATCCCAAGTCCTCCCCCTCCAGCGAAATTATGGTTTAGATAACCACAGAAATTATCTGCAACATGCCTTCCCATGCTTCAGGAGCAGCTGAACCGCCTGCAGCAGCAGCCGCTGCTTTCAGAAGCTGAGGGCTGATAAGGGGCACTCCCAGAGAGAGACCCCAAACCCCAGAACCTATTTCTGCCTGTCAGAACCAGTTTGGTGACCACTCAGTGCTTACACAACTTGTCCAGGCGCACCTTTTCCAGGAGAAAGGCTGGCTTGTAAAGGGCCTTTTTGAGTAAGGGAGGAGAAAAAGCAATGAGGAGGTATTTGGGGTTTTTACAGAGCCCAAATGACTCTGGCTGTCAGCAGCTGCACACTGCTCTGATGAACCACCCTACTCAGCACATACAGCACGCACAAACTCTTGGGAAGCAGCTCAAATATAAGTAGTTAATTCTACACACAGCATCAATATATGTCACCTGCAGGAGGAGAAATAACCCCTGAAACATCTGACAAAAATCTACCCAGCAGGTAATTGTACCCCTCCGAATTTCACAGGTGAACATGGAATTGCTGAGAACAAAGAGTCAGTGTGCCATATCCAGTGGCAGGGACAGGAATTCTGAAACAAACACACACAAAATTTGAGAGATCTTTGACTGGTCTGTGCAGTCAGTCCTTCAGCAGGGTTGAAAAAGAACAAGTGTTTAAACTAACAGAGGCCCCGTTTCCCAACCACTGGATGTCACCTACAGCACTCCCACATGGATGTTTGCTATTTGTAAGGTAGAACTGAGTTTGCTAATTTTGCTCTGTCCAAGCAAACCAGGAGAACACCCCTTATTTTAAAAGAACATAAAAGTCCACACACATGGTTGTTTTTGTTTTTTTTTAATAAGAAGGGAAAGAGTTGTTTTTCCAGATTGTGAGAGACCATCTGTGGAAAGATAAGGTCCCCTGGCAGCAGCACCCCCAAATGCTGGTACCTGTCTCCACACTGCAGGAGTTTATCTGAAGGGTGCTGAGATGAACAGAGTCAGGCAACTGGGCGTGGGTTTTTTTAAAAAAGACGGGGTACAGAACACACAGGGTGAGGAGAAAAAGGTAGGAAAAGCAGCTCCTAGTCAAGCACTAAATGGATCTGAGGTGGAAGAGATTCCAAAGCAGTGTTCTGCAGAGAACAGACACAGCCACCACTGTTGGGTCCTTCTCCACAGACCCAGGGCGGAGCACACCCTCTTTCCATGGTCATCACTTTTCCCTGAGTTGCAGCAGAACAAAACTGACTCAGTTCTTCAGTTTCACAACAGCTCGCTGAGCTTCCAGTAAATGAAGTGAAAATTTAACAATTTTCATTCTTTTGTTGTCTGGAAATGTACAAGAGACCGTGGAATTGCTTGTAAAACTGTTTAGTGACAGCTGCTTTTGTGGGAAGGCAAAACAGTTTTTAAGATGAAAGCCAGGTTTTGCAGAGGTTTATCCATGCTCCTGCTCTCGGAGAACACAACCTACAGACTGTGCACAATCTACAGGGCTGAGAGGGACAGGAGAAGCACAGGCAAGAGATTCACTTCCAAGCTGGCCCTTATCCCACTGGAGATGTGGGAACGGGTTAGCAACAGAGCAGGAGAACTTCACTTGGGTTCAACCACCACCTTTTTATGCAGCAGATGGGAGCGCCCAGCCAAGCCCAGCCACCAGAACAGGGATTCTGAGACTATTCCACGGAAAGCAGGATGATCATATGATGCTGGGCTCGCTTACACCGGAGTGGTTTTAGCTGTTATTGGTTTACACTGGAGCCGAGGCACAGGGGACAGCCCAGGAGCACCTCGTGATCCCCACCACACTCGGCGGGTTCCAATCCTGGCTCTGCTGTGTTACATCACAGCTGGAGAGGAAAACCGGGAGAGGAGAGGCCAGAAGGAAAAGAAAAAAGGTTCGTTTGCATTCCAATGGCTTTCCCAGGGGCCACCCGGCCCAGCTCTCCCCCGTGACCACCGTGACCAGCGAGGCTCAGCCCGTGCCAGGGCACCGGCCCCTGGGTGAAGCCTCTCTTCTCCCAGCTCCATTCAGGCCTCAGTCACCGCTCAGAAAAGATTCTTCCCGAGGCATTTTCTCAAAAAAAAAAAAAAAGGCTTTAAAACCGCCCGTGGTTAACGAGCAGCTTGTCCTTTCACAGACACAATGTGGGCATGTTGGAACCTGCTGCTGCCCCAGCGCAGACCCGGGGCCCAACGGTGCCTCTTTATCCTGTCAAACAGCACCGGAGCAGGGCTCCAGCTGCTGGGGCATGAGGGGCATTTTCTGAGATGTTTCCTCGTGGAACAGCTGGTCCACACAGAAAATATGTGTGTTATGTAAAAATAACGCCCTGGTGGCAATGCTGAGGGGCAGGGACACCCCAAGCAATGAAGTGACTCCAGAGGTACCACAGGATTTGGGAGCTCTCCCTCCACTCTCCTTCCAGAGTTCTGCAAATATCCCAGGAGTTCAGTCCATGTGAAAAGATGGGAATAGCAAAGTCCTGGTGTCTGGCTGCTGGAAGGTCCTTTGAAGTCTGTTCCCACTCTCTGAATTAATCCTGTTGCTGCCCCAGCTCTCCCTGTTGCCCAAGGATGTGGATCGTGGTTTGGGAAACCACACGCAATTTGGGGGGTTTCCACAATGCCCCAAAAAAATGTAAATTTTTTTCTCCATTTGAGATTCACGTTGAAATGAATTCTCCCTGTGCTGCTTTTTAAAGGAATATGTAACAAAGGCATCTTTTCAGCCAATGCTTGGGTCTTCCAAAACCGTTCCAGAGCTTTTTTCATGCCCAAAAGCAGCGGCCTCCAAATGCAATGCAGAGACAATGTGCAACCTCCAGCAGCATAAGGAAAAAATAAATCACTTAAAAACTAAAAAAAAGAACAAAGTATTTTTCTGTTAAGCCTCTTTATTTGCAAATGTAACACCAAACCAAGGACATGGTGTTTTATCAATCTCCAAGGATTGCAAAGATTTCAATGAAAAATATATCAGTGAACTGAAGAGTCAGAGGAAAACACCTAAACAGAAGAAAGCAGCCTCCTCTGTAAGAGTAAACAAAATTCTCTTATTCCTTATTGTCCCTTTACAAACTTTTTTTTCATTCAAGAACTAATGAGGGGTTAAAAACAGGAAAAAAAATGGGATTTTGAATTCATAGCAGGAAATGAAGAAGAAAGGCAAGACCAAAGTTCTACTATTTCTTAAGCACTTAAAAGGAACAGTAATGAGAAACAGCCAGTCCCAGGAAAAATCCAACTTTAATATAGAAAGTTTAATTTATTTATCAAAACATGCTTCTTTTCTTCTCTCTTTTTTTTCAAACACTAAGCTTTTAATAGCTCTTTAATGTACATACTTTGGCTCTGGCTCTTTCTCCCCTCCCTGGAGAGACTTTTTAAAGAGATCTCAATTTCCACTTAAATAGAAGCAATCAATAATAAAATACGTCAGTAACATTAAAAAGTATTATTGTCCAAGAGCAAACCAAGAAATATTTCACAGCCATTTTATATTCTGTACTTAAATGTGTACAGGTAACACCTTCCTTGCTGTAAAAAAAGTGCAAGTAGCAGTGAGTGGACATCAGTCAGCTTCTCTCAAAGTTTATTTAAAACAAATGAGAATGAACCCAAGAAATAATTAGAAAGGGAAATTAATAAGGTGCCCTGCTTGCTGATTTCACTCATTGAAGTTTAACTTCAATGCCTTTTGGCCAGGGCCAAGTGCAGGATCTGGGCACAGAGTCCATCCCAGTGGGGTTAATTCCATGGCATTGGCTAAGAACTTTCCCAGATGTATTTGTGCCAAGCCCCCTTCCTGGGCAGCTCCTGCAGCAGGGCTGTAACAGGTGGGAACAGAGGATGCAGTTTCAGCTCAGGGTTCAGCTCCCAGGTACCACACACAGCCCTTCAAAGGCTCTGAGATCAGACCCGTCCTTCCCTGCCTCATTCCTCACCTGCAGCACACGGAGCACATCCCGAGGAAACCACCCCAGCTCGGAGTGCAGCCCTTCCACAGCGACCACTGCTCCCTCCCCGAGCTGTCCCAGGGCAGCAGAGCCACTGCCAGCTGTCACTGCAAGCTCAGGGATGAGGCCACCAACAGCGACCACAGGGACAACGAGAGCTCAGCCAGAGGCTCCACTGCCCTGCACACAGAAACCTCCCCAGAGCTCACAGACCCTCGGGAATGACCCAGCACAGGGAGCCAGCTCCCTCAAACCCTGCCTGAAACCAGAAACAGATCGTTCTACTCCAGCTCTTACCTGGAAACCAGAGCCTGAAGGAGTTTAAATTCAATCCACTGTAGGTGGAGACCACAGCAGAGACACAAGTGACACAAAAGTGGTTTTAAATCTCAGCCTTACACCAACCTGACAGCTGAGCCCGCTGGAAGCATCCATCCCACGCCAGCGTGCCTCGGGAACGAGTTCACTTTCCTCCTTGGACCTCCTGGGTCAACACTGTGACACTGCCACACAGCCTGGTGTCCCAGCACAGGGAGGGCTCTGACCCCTGTCATTAACACACCTCGGTGTCCCCAGCACCACGAGGGCTCTGTCACCAGCTCCCACGGGCTGGAAGGATCAGCTGGAGCCTGTGCAACACTGCAGCCTGAGGTGTGTTAAAATAAAACTCACAACCAGTCACATGCTGATTGCCTCAGGCACCTGTTAAAAGTACTTTTCGATCCTAAACCACCCTGCAGTCACACATGGCCAAGCCTCCACTGCTGGAGAAGAGCCTGCAAAGTGCCCCACTAATTGTGTACGATTCATCAGGGCGCTCCAACGCCTCCACCCACCCGTGCTGAGCATCCCCAGCATCACCACACAAAACAATGATGGTCCTCTTCACGGTCAGTCCATAAATTTCCTGGAAGTCCGTGGGAAGGATCAGTTACACTGAACGCTGCACCAGCCACACTGCTGTCATTTCAGACCATTTCTGCTGAAATGCTGACGCTCCTCATCACGCCAGCACAGCTACAAAGGGCTTGTGCAGTCTCCTTCACGTTAAATAATAACTGGATGTATGCTAATTGCCTTTCCTCCAGTGAACTGTCTGCATTCCCTTCCGATTTCCTGTAGCTACAAATATGATAATCAGGAGAACAAAGACTTTAGCACAGCCACCCGGGCACAGCAAATGCAGTGGAGTGTGTACGCCTGACTCCAGCAGCAGCACAGAAGGCTGACCTGCAGCCTTGCTGCTCTGAGCACCCCGAGCCCACCTTCAGGAGGTGTCAACAAAGACCGGTGTAAAATCGCACGTCGGAGCGAAGTTTCTCACTGTAACTTCCCGGACAATGCAGCCCCTTAGCAACGCGGCCGCTCTCAAACCAACCAATCCACCTTTAATTCCCACTTCCTCCCAAACTCTCTGGACAGCAACTTCTGGCACTCCATCAGTCCCCTTTTATCCCAGTTTCTTTTTATAAATCCAAGGTCAGGTTTCCTCTCCCATCTCATGTGATGTGCTGGACTGAAGTTCTGCCAGCGTGGTGGGTCCCCAACACTGCCAAACCCCCTCCCGCGCTCCCCTCAGCCCGTCCCGCCGCCCACCGGGCATCTCCCCGGCTCCGGCGGAGAGCAGGAGCCCAGTGGGAAGCACCAACTCTCCCAGCGACGCTGAACGACGCCTGTTAAAAATAAAACCCCGCTGGGACAGAGTCCCCCCACCCCGGGCGGCTCGGGGGTCCCGGGCCCGGCCTCGCCCCTCACCTCCTCCTCGCTCTCGCTGCGGAAGCACAGGCAGGCCGCCCGCTTCTTGTAGCCGTCCCCGTCGTAGGTGCGCGTCTGGTTGGACTTGAGCTTCATCATCCTCCGCTCCGGGGGCGGCGGGGCCGGAGGACGCGCGGCCCGGAGGGCGGGGGCGGGCGGGACCCACCGGGCGGCGAAGGACGGGGGGGCGCGGAGGGACCGCCTGCCCGCGACAGTCTCTTTCTGGGTCTCGCTTCGTGGGTCTCGCTACGCGCTGCCTCCCTTCGCCCGCCTCACCCCTGCCCTCGCTCCCGGCCGCGCCGCCGCCACCGCCCGCGCTCCGGCCACCGCCGACGACGACCGCGCCGCCATCTTGGGGCTCGCTACGCAAACGGCGTAGCGCCGCGGGGCGGGGAGGCGGCGTTGCCCCTGCGGCCTCACGGCGCGCCCGCTACGCCAAGTGCGCAGCGCGACTTCCAGAATCGCTCCCCCCTCGCCGGCGCCGCCGCCACGCCCCCGCCCCGGCTCGCGCGCTCTGCGCCAGTGGCGCACGCCGCGTTCGGGAATGGGACGGGAGGCGCAGAGCGGCGGCGGAGGCCGCTCGGCCTTACGCAAACGGCGCAGGGGCCGGGCCGGCCGCGCGCACGTGGCCCCGCTGTGACAGCGGCTCCGCGGGGACCGCAGCGCCCGCCCTGCGCCGCGCGGGGGCGCTGCAGGCACCGCGCCAGTCCCACCCCTCCGGTGCCACCGCAGGGCCGCGTCCGTTCCCGGTGACTTCCCGTGTGTGTGTTCAATCCCCTGCCCTGACACCACGGGGCCGCGTCCGTTCCCGGTGACATCCCGTGTGTGTGTGCGTGTGTGCTCATCCACCCGCCCTGACACCGCGGGGCCGTGTCCGTTCCCCCCCTCCGGTGACACGCGGCTGGGTGTCCATTCCCCTGCCGGTGACACCGCGGGTCGGTGTCCGTGTGTCCGCTGACACCGCGCGTCGCTTCCCAAGTGTCGCTCCTCCCCCGCCGGTGACACCGCGGCCATCCCGGGCCCGTTACCGATTAGTCACCGGCTGCCGAGCGACATCTGGCGGCGGGCGGCGGCCACTGCGCCACTCGCCCCCCCGCCCGGTGCTGCCGCCAACCCCGCCCTCGGTCCCCGCCAAGTGACAGCCCAGGTGACAGCGCAGCGGTGCAGGACACGCGGGCCCGCCCACGCGGGCTGTGTCCCCATCAGAGGGACACGGGCTGGCACTGCTGAGTTTTCCATCTGCAGCACAGCTCAGCCCCAGCCCAGCCCTGCTGCACGGCCGGAAATCAGCATGGCCCTGGGCAGATGGGAAATGCTCCTGCATTCCTCCAGGACTCACCTCCACACCCCCTAAACTTGGAGAGTTCCTGCACTAGAACCTGCATTTAATCACTCCCAAAGTGCTGCTCCAGATGCCAAAGATGTGAGTCAGCTGTGCTTCGTGAGCTCTGTTTGTGCACTTCAGACAGACACAGGCAGGAACCCAGTGGCATTTTCACCTCTTTTATTATACACAAAACATGAGCACAAAGTTCTACTGCGGGGGCTGACCACGTCCACGACCGAATCCACCTCTCTGCAACAGCAAAAGGAGAGTGTTAGAAATCACAGTGTCAAATAAAGACAGCAAAAACAAACATCAAAGCTCTCTGATGGCACAGGTCAGCCAGGTGAGCGGCACCAACATCAACCCATTCCAGGTGGATCACACCTAAAATACTGCTATTTTTGAAGTATAAAACCACGGATCTCCAAAGAGCTCAGCTTGCTCTCAAACTTGACAGTGGCCTCTGTCCCACCACATCCTTTCCCCACTGCAAGCAAGCTGCCTGTGAAGGGTGAGAGTTTCCAGCCCCTCTAACACCCTCAGAATCCCACAGGCAGGACTTTCCAGCTTCTCCCACCAAAGCCTTCAAAAAAAGAAGCAAAGTTCAAATGCAAACACTCACAAACTGGAATTCCGTGGCTGCTCCAGCACCAGCCTCAGCCTTCTTGTCAGCACCAGCTGCAGAAAGAGAAGCAGTCAGTGCCCACAGAACCCCCTGGCTGGGAGCAAAGCTTTAACCATCCCACAGAACTAAAACTGGGGCTAAACACAGCAAAGGCACAGCTGTAAATGAGCACGTTTGAGTTACTGAACCAACCCCAGGGAAAACAGCTCAGCTGGACAAATCTCCAGCACACCTCCCACCCACCCTCACATACAGACTCTAAGCTGTGCCAAGAGTCTCATCTTCCCCTTTTCTCCTTGAGAGGAGCCCTAGAGCTGGGGCAATTGTCCCTGAGAGGGGCACACTCACGTGGCACGGCGCTGCGGCGGTACGTGTCCCGGTCAGCCTCGCCCCGCGTCAGCCGCGCCGGGCGCTCGCCCTCCAGACCTGCAACACAGACAGAGCACAGCCTCAAACTCTGCTCTGCCAGGGCACAAACACAAACCTCCTGCAGCCCAAGGTGCACAACAGCACCGGGTGTGACAGCAGTGCTGCACCTGGGGCAGCTTGGGGAGAATAAACCTAAGGAGAACGGTAATTTATGAAAGGGAGCTTCACTTGAAGGGTGAAATCTGCTCAAGTGTCCCAGCTTGTGGCAGGGTGGAAGTTAAATAATGTGAGAAGTGGGTTTACAGCATCATCTCAACAGTCTTCTGGTCATCAAGCTAGTGCTGAATGTTATTGTTGGTAAAAATCCCAGAAATAGTGGGAATCTGCCATGGCCGACAAGCCTGAGCACAGCTGAGTCCCAAACTACAGGACAGAATTCTCACCCCAACCTGAAACAGAGCCACTGTCAATACCCCAAATCCCCCCACAGAACACATTCAGGACAGTAAAAGCAGATTGTTTGTGGGATCTCAGATTAATACCAGACAAAACTGCTGCAGGAACACCCAGCTGTGGTGGGAACACCTCATCTCAGGGCCTGGGATGTGTCCCTGGAGCCCAGGCTGGGGTCTGCCCACCCAGGCAGGACCCACTGAGGGGCAGCTGTGCCCTCCTGCACATCCACATGCATTGGTTTGGCCATAAAAACCCCAGTTCTTGTAATAATTCTTTTACTCCACCACCTCTGTGTCTCCCAGACTGCTGCTGCCTCAAGCAAGTCATCCACAGCAAGAAAGAACACCAAGTGCAATCCTTCCAAAAATCCCTGTCCAGATGGGGCTGAGGAGGGTTCCAGCACAAGGACAATCCTGTGACACCACACACAGCTCCTCCTGCACAAACCCCAGCCAGAAGCTGCCACCCCTCCCTCCCTCCCTCCCTCCCTCCCTCCCTCCCAGCAGGGATGCAGCTCCCTTAAGCTCACTGGATAAACACAGCATCTAAAGAACAAATCTTGGAATATCCAAGCAACTCAGAGATCAAAGAAGGCAGCATATTCCCAGTTTCTCTGCAATTCCTTCCTTTGAAGCAGGTGATGCTCCCGTTTTGTTTGGCTCAGACACAAATTGCAGCAGCTGGGGGTAAACTGCCAGCACCCCCTGGCCCCAGCAAAAAAGCACAACCCCTGTGATCCTCCAGAACCAGAGCACATCTGGCTGCACCCCCTGCACCTGGGGGTGTGAAAACCCACCAAGGGAAAAACAGAGCTGCAAGTCCAACACAGAGAATCACAGAGCAGCTGGGGTTCATCTGGAGATCACCCCCTCAAGGCAGGGTCACTCAGAGCAGGTGACACAAGAATGTGTCCAGGTGGGTCTGGAATGTGCCCAGAGAGGGAGACCCCACACCCTCCCTGGGCAGCTGTTCCAGTGCTCTGCCACCCACATGGAAAGTTCTCCCTCATGTTGAGGTGGAACTTGCTGTATTTTAGTTTCTGGCCACTGCTCCTTGTCCTGTCATTGGGCGCCACTGGACAGAATCTGGCAGCATCCCCTGGGCATATCTGTGGGTATTTGTCTCCTCTCCTCCATCCTAACCAGGCCCAGCTCCCTCAGTCTCTCCTCACAGAGATGCTCCAAACCCCTCAGCATTTTTGTGGGCTCTGCTGCTCCTCCAGCACGAGTCTGCTGTTAACCACAAACCCCAACCACATTTCCATGCTCTGCTCACAATTTCACACCCAATCCCCACAGATCTGGCAGTGCCCTGACTGCCCAGCCCCCTGTGCCCACCCCAGCTGACCTTTGGGTCGGGGCCTGCCGGTCTCGGGGCGGCTGCGGCGCAGCGTGGCCGGGACGATCTCGGGGGGCAGGTGCAGGTAATCCCGCAGGTACTGGATGCCCTCGTTGGTCAGGTACCAGTAGAAGTGTCTCCAGGCAAACTGCTCCTTCACGTACCCTCGGGACTTGAGGGACTGCGGGGACAGCTCCCAGTTACTCCCAGTTCCTCCCAATCACTCCCAGCTCCTCACAGACATCGGGGTTCAGCAGGGAAGAGGGGAACAGGGACAGGGGAGCAGGAACGATTCACAGGCAGGGGACACCAGGCAGCACCACCCCAGGGACCCCCACTCCCATGCCCCTGTCTCCTCCCCTTATCTCTGTCCTTCACTGAAGCAGCTTCCCTGAGCAGAGGCTTTTTACCAGAACAGGCAGTCAAGACTAAACAGCTGTTTTCAAACTACAGACTTAAAGATGTACATTTCACCTAAACCAAAATGGATTTCTTCTCTGGAAAATTTCTACTCTGCCTCACCCCCAAGCCCTCCCACCTGCATGGCTTTCATGACGTGCAGGTTGGGCACGTTCTTGTCCACCAGCTCGGGGTGCTTGGGCATGTGCACGTCCTTCTTGGCCACCATCACGCCCTCCTTGAACAGCAGCTCATAGATGGCGATTCGGTTCTTCTTGGGCATCAACATCTGCACAGGGCACAGCAAACAGGGCTCGGTGACATTCGGGCACCAACATCTGCACCGGGGACAGCGATCCCGGTGCCCCCCGAGCTGCCCCGGGAGGGAAAACCGAGCACTCCCAGCTTATGCTCCTTAAATCATCCCGCGCACACCGGGCACAGCGGGGGCAGCCCCGCCAAGGATGCTGTTGGTGCTGCCGTTAAGTCAAACTGAACTCGGGAACCGGGAGCCATGGGAGATTCTCCCCCGTCCGGGAGCCGGAACCAACCCCGGCAGCGCCCCCAGCACGGGAAATCGGCTACGGGCGGCGCTCCCGGACCCGCCGGGCCCGGGGCTCTCCGTGCTCGGGCACGACTGACCCGCGGCGGATCACGGAGCACCCCCGCGGCAGCGCCCGGGCCGGGAGGCCCCGGTGCCAGCGCGGGCCATCCCGCACCACCCCGGGCCCGGCGTCCCCATCCCTCCCTCGCCGCACGGCCGGGCTGGAGCCCCAATGGCGGAGATGCCCCGCGAGGGGGTCCAGGCCCCGGGATGGCGGCGATGCGCGGCCGATGGCCCGAGCGCGGCCTCACCGTGGCGGTGGCGGCAGGGCCCGACCGGAAAGGGCTGGGTGTGCGCCGGACCGCCGCTTCCGCCGCGCCAAGGCCCCCGGCGGCGGGGGTGGCCGCGGCACTGCCTGAGAACGGGCGGCCCGCTGCGGTGCCTGATGGGGACAGCGGGAGATCCCCACCCCCCCGCCCCATGTCACCCCCAGCCGTGACATCCCCAC